ATATATTTTTAAGATTTTATTTACTTATTTGACAGAGAGAGAGTCAGTGAGAGAGGGAACACAAGCAGGGGGAGTGGGAGAAGGAGAAGCAGGCTTCCCACTGAGCAGGGAGCCCGATGTGGGGCTCGATCCCAGGACACTGGGATCATGACTCGAGCCAAAGGCAGACGTCCAATGACCGAGCCACCCAGGTGCCCCAACAAAACAATCTTTCATCAGAAACCAAGCGATACTTTTAAAAGAAAAACCCTAAAATACGTACCTTATGGAATAAGCCACCAAGCTCACTTTATACTTCGCTTTTCATTTGAAATAGGTAAATGATTCCCAAAATGGCATAGTGCTTTGATTAGCAATATCATTAGGATGAGTTACAGTTACAACAACTGTTTTCTGAGTGGAGCATGCTCTCACACTCTCTACATATGCCAAAGAAACAACATTTTCACACGTTACCTGGAGGCCCACTCGAATTCTTTTGGTTAAAGCACCCTCTGGGAAAGAAGCCTGGACGAGGGGCACAGTGGTGCTGCTCAGAATTCCGCCTTCAGGACCAATCTGGTTGCTTTCCTGCTTAATCCTAGAAACCACGGCAAAATACTGGGGGAAGTCCTTTGTGATAATCCTGCAGATCCGCTTCTTCCCTAGCTCTTCTGGGCTGTCAAGTTCTGAAAAGACGAATGAAAAAGCCATGAGAGTAAGCCTATCTACCTAATACCTTAAGATAAACTGATGTGTAATTTTGATAGATAAAATGACTTATATCCAGTAGTCTCAACAGAGTTTCTATGATGGAGAGAAAGCGACAGTGACTTTAAAAATAATATAAAGATTTGTAAAGATATTATAAAGCTATTCATATACAGTATTTGTAGAAAAATATTTCTACTGAAGAGGAGCAAACATCTTCAAAAACCGAAATTTTACCTCATATGAACAGAGCTCTACTCTTTAAGAAGAGAAACCTCATTCTGTGATTATTTACAATAATCTGCCCTCAAACTGCCAAAGTAGGAATGAGTCAGGAAAAAGCAGGGCCTCACAAGAAAGTCAGTAAGGATTTCAGGATGTCTGAAAGGCTCTAGAACTTTATTTGAAAACCTCTTTAAGATATTTTTAAATTGTCCAAATGATTAATATTGTCATCACCTATTTCTGTCTATGCACCGATAACCCTCACGCATCAAACTCAATCTATCCACAAATGGATACATCTTTCCTTCTGTCCACTTCCAAACTTAACTTCTTCCCCTTTATAATAACTCTGGTAAAGGGCTTACAGTTTTCTAGTCCTCCTGTCCGATAGTTTGACTCACTTTCCTGGATACTTCACATCGAAAGGTCGAAGTCCAGCTGATTCCACTGTGGCAAAGGCTTGTTGTCTTGCCAGCCCCTGTCTGAGCCCTCTTTGCCTTGCCTGGATCACTGAGTCACCTCCTAACCATCTACCTGCCACTCGCCTCTCCTTATTCCAGCTCATCCCCTACAGTGCAGCCAGATGGGTCTTCTTCCAAGAGCCAGATTTTATGCAGAATGCTGGTTGGTTTAACTGAAATAAACGATTTTTAAAATCATATGAAATAATAAATATTTGAGATTAGCCAAGAGTATTTTGGAAAAATAGCTTTATGAGGGAGAATTTATCTTATAAGATTTTAAAACTTATCTAGAAGTATCATAATAAAAGTTATATGGACAGACATATAAAAATATAAGAAATACATATATAAGATTAGACAAAAAGGTCAGGGATAAGAACAGAGCAAGAAATAGATTTAAATTTATACACGTATATACACATACATGGAATATATGTAAGTCCAAATGTATCTACTTTTATATATTATATATTATGTATTTAAATGAATATGTTTAAATCAAAGTCATATATTTAAACTTCAAATCAGTGGGGGAAAGAGCGCTTATTTAAGATGGCATTGACATACATGAAAATCTATTTGGCAGAACAGAGCTAAATCACTACATCTTATTACATATAAATACAAATTCCCGCTGGATAAGAGACTTAACTACTTAAAACAATTAAAACGTTACCGTAAAACAATCAAGAGAATATGTTTCAGCCATGGTTAGGAGAAATTTTTGTATTCAAAACTGGAAACCCAGAAGCCTAAAAGGTCGTTTTGACTATAAAAATGTAAAGTTTTCTATGGCAAAAATAGTTAGCTTGAAAGACAAAAGGGAGACTAGAAAAGATAACACCTACATGGGACACATGGCACCTACGAGTTGACAGAGATGACAGATGAGCCAACAGAAAATGGCAAAATACTGTAAATGGGCAAATCACAGAAGCTGAAAACTGGTCAGAAAAACATATATTAAAAAGATCAAATTTAATAATTTGCATGGAAATACCTACTTAAACAAGATATGATATAAATATTTGAGACTAGCCAAGGGTATTTTGGAAAAATAAATTTGCGAGGGAGAACTGGAAGAATCATGATAAAACAGTTATATGGAGACATTGTGAGGGTGGGGGAGGGAGAGGTTATTTAAATATGATGATCAGGAAACACCTCTCTGAAGAGGTGATAATAGGTGAGAGATGTGAGGGAAGGAGGGAGCCAGGCTGGAAGTGACTGATTGGTATAAAGCATATAAAGTGAGGAAAGAAGCAAAGATGCAGAGCAAAATGCATACTCTGGTCCTTTTTAGGGAAATGTGTAATCTGCACATTTATATACTTTTATAAGGGAAATTTGTAGAAGAGACATTCTAGGCCACTGGCAACTGGTCACTTCAGAGGGATGGGAGGTGGGGCTGGAGGTGAGGAGATAAGAAGACAGTGGGTTTACATAGTTGGGGTGGTTTTGTTAACAAAATAAAGGGGAAATTCCCAGACTTCAGAAAGGGGTGTTGGTTTTGTTTTTGTTGTTACTCACACAGCCCTCCCTTCAACCTCTGATACATACAGTACGCGTCCTACCATTTTTTAACTATGAACATGTCTGCCTCCTTCATCGCAGGACTGAGATCATGGCTTGTTTTGAGTAGAAATTTATAGAAAGGTAAGGTGGATGGTTAGATAACTGGATCAGTGACATTTTCTCATTTTACAGATTAACCATCGAACTCTGAGGCGGGAAGACCAAATTAATTGGCAAATAGGAGAAACAGGGTTCCACCCAGACCAAAATGGAACTGGAATTTGGTCCGTTTTGCTTCCTGACCATCTGCTTCTCCTCTGCTCTGTCCGAAACCAAATACTGAGTTTCTAGTGAAAGAAAAATAAAAGAAAACAAAGGCAAATTATTAAAGAAAAAAAAAAGGTTAATCTAGAAAGACAGGAAGGAACTAAAGAGTTTGCTCAGGAAAATATTCTGGGGAAGTTTTCCCCTATTCAGCAATTGACAAAATAAAAGTTTTCCATACAGAGCAGATATATTTCCCTTCCCATGGTTTGGCTTATTTTAAAAAGTCTGAGTTCCCAGAGTTCATAATTCATGCTGCAGCTGAGAGAGTTCTGATCATTTGTTTCAGGTGCTGTGCAGCCCATCAGCTGCAGCTAAGCAGACATTTTTTTACCTCAGCCTCAAACTTGTGATCGTGTTCTCCTTTAGAAATAGCTTCGGACTCCACAGAGTGCAAGCAATTTAAGAAGACTCCGCCGTGAAATTATAACCTTCCAACAAGACAAATTTCGGGAGTCTGAGTGTAACAAGCCGTGTATCCTGTGAGTATGACGTTTACTCAAGATCAGTATGGGCCTACGGGGGGCAGCGAGGCACCTTTTGGGGGACTTGGGGCAATACGTGCTTCTTAGCCGTTTGTGTGTGTGTGAGTGTTGTACGTACATTTGTGAGGAGTCAAGGGGGAGACAGCCGTATCACCCCTGGAACCTGTAACGGTGAGGGACTGGGAAGAGCGGCCCCTTTGTGTAGTGAAGCACAGCGAGGCCACATCTCTGCTCCACGGCCTTTGATCAGGCATTAAAACCACCCCGAATAATAAAGAGAGCATGTCCATCTCAGATGCAGCAGGTGAGTGGTGAAGGGAGAAGCTCAGGGTTCTAACTCCACACTTGACTTCTAACGTCTTTTAGGACTGGCCAGTGGTTCTGGGACACTCTGTGTTGTACCCACTCTATTTTAAAGCTTCTAGCCATTTCTCTGTCACCATTAAAATCTGCATAATTATTGAGCTTCAGTGTTGTATTTTAACAGGTTTTATTTATTTATTTAAGAGAGAGAACGAGCACATGAGCGGGGGAGGGAGGGCGAGAGGGAGAGAATCTCAAGCAGACTCCCCGCTGGTGTGGAGGCCTGCCACGGGGCTCCACACGTGGGCACAACCCACGAGATCACAACCTGAGCGGAAACCAAGAGTCAGACACTCAACCAACTGACCCACCCAGAAGCCCCTTTTAACAGGTATTTTATTAACAGGCATTTTAAAGATAAGCCTCAATCCAAAGAAACAACTACTGTGTGAATTTAGGACACTGGAATCCCCAAGCACCATTCTTTAAACAGTATGATACCCATGTTGCCTTCTTGAATTATTCAGATTCCCAGGCCTCTGCATGATGAAATGGATCAGGTTATATTCTGTTTCTATGTATACTTATTTTTAACTTTTTTTCTGAGAATAAAAGTCAATACAAATGTAAAAACTACAAAAAGTACTTAAGTATTGGTTTATCAGAAGAAGCATAATCTCTTTAGGAGCTACAGTGGAAGGCGAGGCTATTACGAACTGGGATAGCTGCATAAGTAAGACAATAAATGATGCAGACAGTAGGTAAATGTGAGAGGCAAGAGCACGAAGTGAAAGCCAGGCAGTAAGATTACCAGGGAATTCTTATGACTTGAAAATCTATCACAAGATCTTATTGCTCATCATATAGGACAAAGGTTAAATAAATTATGATATATTCATACTATGGAATACTGTGCAGTATTAAAAAGAATGGGGTAGAAGTATACATTTTAATATGTAAATCTCCAAGCCATATTAAATGGAAAAGTCGCAAAAAATGTGATCACAATCAACTAATCACATCATTACATGTCTATGTATAAATTCCTATAATTTACATTAAAATTAGGGGAGGGGGGAAGAGAAGAGGAAAATTATAATGACTGTACACTTGTGTATTATTACATGGGTAATAATACTAATACCAGTATTTAATAATATGATATATATATAATAAATGATATAGCAGATTATTAATATTTTAATGCAGATTCAACTCAAGCAAATTTTTTCTCTATTTCTTGCTTTAAACAAAGGAAACTGAAACACAGTCATGAAATGATCTTAGCTGACTGTTTCAGGTAACTAATGACCCAGCTAACTAGGGGAGCCTGCAGGAGGGCTGAAGGCTCTCCAAACTCAGCTACTGGGAAGCCCTGACTCATGGCCACATTCCCCATCGTGAGCACCTTATCACGAGCCTTTTTATTCTATTTATAATTTTGATAATCTACTAATGTGTATTCAAATCAGATTTTCTTTTCATAAAATGTGAAGTACCCACAGTTAAGTTACACTAAGCTAAATGATGTCTGATACTGAGGCCTGGCACATTGTAGGTATTTGACTAGTATCCACTGAACAAAGCCCTCATTGGGAAATAATGAGACTCACATTTTTCGTACCAAAGAACTACATAATTCTTCAAATCTTGCTTTAAAAT